GTCGCCTGTCGGCCTGGCAGCAAGCAGAGGCGGGAACCCGGCCCGCCGCCTGGTCACCTCTACCCGGCCAGGCCCGGCGACCCGCCGCTCTGGCTTCGTCCGCAACTATAAAATTCATACTTGTTGCTGTCGAAAAAGTGGAGCAGAAAAGCACAAGGAAGGAAACACATGAGCTGAACCCCTGCTCCCCAGAGAGAACCTGGGTTAACCTTATCGTGTATTTCTTTTCAGTCTCCTTTTCCGTGTAAGTAAGCGTGAACAAACTATTTTTACAGGACCTGGGTCAGAAAGTTCTGTAATTTGACTCCTTTCCCTTAATACATTATCTTCTCGTGGTTTTAAATGTTTTTCTACGTTTCTTCTTAACTGCACTGGACTACATTCGTGTGTGTGCCAGGTTGACCTCTGCATCCTACCCTGCAGTCTGGCCCGGGCCTGACCTTCAGTTTGTTGAGTGACGACGGGACTGTGATTTACTTAATGGATTCTCTCCCTGATGGTGAACATACAGGTGCTTTTGAGGTTTTAGCTGTTACAAAAGCAGTTTGTTGAGCACTCTTCCACCTGGTTTTTGAGCATCATTGTTTAGAGTGACTCTTTCATAAGGCTTGTAGTATATGTTACAAAACGCTTCTCGGAAAAGCTATTCTTTTTTTGTACCTCTAGTAGTGTTCGGGAATACCTGGCCCAAGTTGCTTCCCGACTTTGTTGTAGGTGTCAGTGCTTCACAAGGGACCTAGCACACAGTATCAACACCTGCTTGCTAAGAAGTGACCTGCCTTATGACAGGCCTGCCTTAGAGTTTTTGCTGAAAAGGGAGCTATGAGTATCTTAGTAATTTAAAAAGCTGACTTAGGTTTAGCTTGGACAAAACACTACAATCCCCAATATGGTTAAACCTAAGTTAACAAAATTCAGGATGGGGTTAGATAAAAATTTGAAACGTTGTAATGTTTAAGTCATACACTAAAACAGGGGTGTTTGGTTCCTAAGGAAGGGATTTTAAAAGATTATGCTGCTAGGTAGTCACTGGATACTCAAAAAGCTTTCTTTGAAGACTTGTAATAAGTTTCAAGTGACTGATATCATCCTCATCAGTGAAAGTAAATGAAATTTGTTTTCCTGTCCTTTTCATTTACATTTTTAGTGAAAGGCGAAAGATTTATACACTCCAAAGAAAAACCAGCGTATTTCATTTACATTTTTAAAACTTTTTGCTAAAATAGAGGGAATTTTTCTTTGTAATGATTGTTTTCCTGTTTGGTCACATGATCCTGAAAATTAAATTTATGTGTAAGAGTTTTAAAATGTCAGTGTATTAATTCCTTTCTCCCGGGTTTCAAACCAAAGCCTTCCCTGGCCTTTCGGCCCATTTGGCAGGCTAAGATCCCTTTTTTGTGGGGCCTGTTCCATCCTTTACTGCTTCCTTTTGCAAGCCAATACCATGGCTGTGCTGTATTTATCTTTTGATAAATAAAGATAAAGTCCCTCACTCAGAGCTTAGTGCCCAGCTCAGTACCTATCACATAAGTGTTTGATAACTATTAGCATGGTGGATGAATTTAGAATATGACATGTGTTTATTAAGTCCAGTTTGTAACTCAGAGATCTATGTGAGTTATTTCTCATTGAAATGAGTAAGGTAGTAATTAGGGACAAGGACATCTGTGATCATCTCTTGGTTATAAGTGTAATCACATTCGAAGAAACACAACTGGCAGGGCACCTTAGATTTTTTTTAACAACTTTGTTGATATATAATTCACATATCACATAATTTAAAGTGTATGATTCACATACCCATTTAAAGTATATGATTCGATTTTTTGGTATATTACGGTATTACTTTTTTTTTAAGTTGTGCTAAAATTTGCCACTTTAACCAATTTTAGGGGTTAACAATTCAGTAACATTAAGTATAGTTACAGTGTTGTACAACCATAACCACTATTTCAAAACTATTTCAATGCCTTAAACAGATAGTCCATAAATAAATGTTGAATATATGAATGAATGTTGATAGTTTAGAGAAAAAATTTTTTTAAATAAATGTGATCTTGATTACTAACCTCTCTTCTAATTTGTTGTGTTGTCTTTTATACCTATATGAAAAGTTATTGTAATTAAGATGGTACCATGCCATATGTTAGTATGATAATACTAACATATAAGTTCCTTATAATGGAAAACCGGGCAGTTCTTTCAAGTCTGAATTGTTGAATTTCTGAGTTTTCTAGTCTCTAAAAGTTGTAAGGCAAAATTTGAATGATATCCCTAAGTTCAGTCTGATTTGCAAAGGATGCCTTATCCAAGTTATTATGCTGTTTGGCTTACTCTGTTGTGCTATATTCCCTTTGCTTTCATAGTTGCAGGATACTCTCCACTTTCATAGGAGATACTGTAGGTTTCCTAAGACTAGAACAATCTACAAATTTTAAGGTGCTAATAATAAAAAAAGAATTTATTTTAGGTACAAAGTGTTTTGAATATCTAGTTTTCATTTTAAAATTCTAAGCTTATCTTTGCCTGTCGTATTGCTTTTATGGTTGCTCATCTCTTCCTTAACATCTTTTTAAAAACAATTTGTGGCTTCTGGCTGTTTCCAGCCAAAGAGGGTTGGCAATCTCGCATTTTTTAACAAGGAAACAGCACCTTTTGGCATCTGTGGGGACAAGGCGAGGTTAGGCTAGATTTTAGGAGCCAAAAATAATAAGCCTATTTTTCAATAGATTTGGCAGGAGTAAAACTGTTAATCCCAAATCTTCAAATGTGGAGGGTTTCCTGTGCATGTGAGTATATCTGTGCTTCTCATCGCAGTAAAACTTAATTAGCATTACAGCCCACTTACTGTTTACTTGCACAGTACTGGGCTCTAGTTTTGGCATGGGCCCTGCGAGTGACCTGAGCAAACCACAAAACTGTTGTGGATTCATTGTTGGCACTAGCAAATTAAGTGGGCTTGAGTAAGCAGGTAAATTAAGATTGCTTTTAGAAAGCAAACTAGCATATCCCTGGCTGCTTCCTGCAAAGTCAATATTTCTTTGAAGTTAACTGAAAAACTTTTAAATTACATATTCTACTATAATATAGCCTTCTAAAATTTAATATACAGATTGCATTTTAAATTCGTTATCACCCAGTGACATTGATGCTTCCAGAAGATGCATTGTTTACTCTGGAGTAGTTGTATTCCCTGACCCACTGCCTCATACCCTTGGGGCTTCTTGTGCCTCAATTTGAGAAGCATGGGACCCAGAGGACCTCTAGGTCTCTTGAAGCTCTGTTGTGCTATGATACTTGAAATTAACTAGAGTTTATTCTCTAGTTTTAGGAAATTATAAAAGCATAACATAGAAACATATGATTGGCCAATTTGCATGACTTAACTTCTTTCCCTGAAAAGCAGAGATTGCAATTCTATTGTATGTAAAAGCTGTTTCATCAGAAACTGCATGCAATTTAAGAAATGGATTGCAAAATTAGAAAATCCCTTTGCAGACATCATCTTTGTTGCTCTCAACCTTTCTTTGCTGCAATTCTGCTTTTTTCTTTCCTGGCTGCTAATTGGATTACAGGCTGTTTTGCCAACCATGGCATCTGGAGATGACAGTCCTATCTTTGAAGATGACGAAAGGTAAATGTCTTGCATTGCAATAAAAGTAGCTTTTGCAGCTTTCAAGATGATTTTAATCATTCAGAAGAGTTATTTATCCAGGCTACTTTTTTAAGGATACATTTTGTAAAATTGAAGAATGCATGGTTTTGCTTTTCTGTGACACAGAACAAGGGTGGTAAACACCTGGCATGGAGATGCCCACCACTAATGTGGCATCCTCTTCCACAGGACCTGGATGCAAGGTCTCCAAATCTTGGCAGTCACTTCAAAATGATATAAAACCCTTTTAGCATCTCTGATTTAGAGCATACAAAGGAGATTAAAAGGAATGAAGAATAGGATGTAGTTAAAAGAACAGGCTCTGGAACCAGAGTCCTAAGTTTAAATCCCGTCTGCCACTCACTGTTATTGTGACCTTAGACAAGCCCTTATCCTCTCTGAGCCTCAGTTTCCTCATCTATAAAATAGGGATAATAATAGTACCCATCTCATGGTGGGATTCTATGAGTTAATATATGTAAAGCTCTTAGAACAGTGACTGGTACTTAACGTTAGCTATGATAATGCTGTAAAAAGTGTTATTTCACTCAAAGGAAAAATATCAGTAATAAAATACTTATATATCATTCACATGGGACACATATAATACGTTGTCTTATATTAAAATAATATCAACAATGTGTTTAAATTGTGCCAGAAATTTCTGACAAAACAGAATCCTTTATTTTTTAATAAGATTTCATATAGTAATAACAAGAATTATTCTCATAACATTTTAATCACTATTGTAGGACACTTCTTCCATGACACCTCTTTTTCTCAGTCTTAGTGTAATAAAACTTTTTTGTTAAAATGAATTCCTAGTTATTTGTTTAAGTATGAAAGATTTGTAGAACTCTTGAAGTGATTGGATCTGAAAAAGAAAAATAGTAAATACTTTGCTTTTTAAATGAGGGGAGAGAGAAGTAGAGACTTTTTACTGACCTTTCCAAGCATTATTCTGTAGCCTAGCTTAGAATACTATCGTGGATGAACTGATAGATTCTTAATCCTATTAATATTAAGGTGACATTGTTTGGAATTATCCGACTATATACTCACATATAGTAGTTTCATCTTGAAGAGTGCCTAAGAGAGAGAAGATAGTTACATGTACTGTAACTAGGATTTCTTAGGTAATATCACTTTAATATTTGATAATTTTAGGGTTTTTAAAAATCTGATATTTTCATCTTGGAAGAATTAATTGGCTATTACTGTTTTTAGCCTATTACAATTGCTTTATTTTATTCCTTTAGCCCTCCTTATAGCCTGGAAAAAATGACAGATCTTGTAGCTGTTTGGGATGTTGCTTTAAGTGATGGAGTCCATAAGATTGAGTTTGAACATGGGACCACATCAGGCAAACGAGTGGTGTATGTAGATGGGAAGGTAGGAAAAAAACATTGCTTTGTAAAGGATGGTATACAGAGAAGGTTGCTTTTGTTAATGTAGATTCTTTGTATGTGAATTCGGGCTTTTCTCTTACGGTGGTTATCTTTATATTTTGGCCTGTATCATTTTGCTGTAAAAGCAAAACAATAATTATAGAATTCATAGACTATAACATTTACTCTTTAAACTTAAAATGCATTTATTTTCTAAAACCTTTGTATCATGAATTAATAAAATTACATCTAACTAGCATTGTCATCTCATTTTAATTATATTATTTCTAAAATTAAACACTAAATTTTCTTCCATTTTTGTGTTTTCAACTTTTCTATTTTATTACTTAGGAAGAGGTAAGAAGAGAATGGATGTTCAAATTAGTGGGCAAAGAAACCTTCTGCGTTGGAGCTGCAAAGACAAAAGCAACCATAAATATAGATGCTATTAGTGGTTTCGCTTATGAATATACTCTGGAAATTAATGGGAAAAGTCTCAAGAAGTATATGGAAAACAGATCAAAAACCACCAATACTTGGGTATTACATTTGGATGGTGAGGACTTTAGAGTTGTGTTGGGTAAGTGAGTGCTGTTTTTGCAGAATTTATTGGCTTTTATGATGGCTGTTAACTTTCTCTAACTGTCCAGACCTTTTATGGGAGCTTTGAATAGGGAAGGGGGTAAGTGCAGATGTATTTATAATGTGTTCTGTATGAATGAAGTACATTTAATTGACTGATTTATACGTAAAACATGAGAACCAGATTTTATAGTGATGGATTTGAGGATTATAAACTTGAGTTTTAAAAAAATATATTGATGTAGACATTGCTATTATTTGATATTTCACTTTAAAAGCATGTCTAAAGGCAGGTGGGAATTTAAGATTCCTCAGTAAGAAGGGCATTTTTCTCTCGGTAGCAATAGGATTATGACTGCAGCAAATCAAAATTGTCAGAGTTCAGATAAAATAGATTAAAAATTAAAAAGTAATAAGCTGTTGATCTTTAAGGTAAGTTCTATTGTTACACATTACGTTCTGTGCTCTCAGTTTCTATTGGCCTTCAAACTTGATAGACAAATATTTACCAATTACTACCTTTTATCTCTTCTGGTTATTCCTAGTATATCCCGCTTCTTTTTTCACTAAGTTAAGACTGTTTAATCAGCTCATTAATTCATTAATTCATTTACTTAAGTAATATTGAATACCTACTAAATGCCAGTTAGAGTACCAGGCACTGAGGATACGTAGATGAAGAGATCTAGTGCTTTTAAAGAGTCTACAGTATAGTCAAATGCTAGCAAATGCCTTTAACACAATTTTTTTTTAAATTAAAAATGTTTATCAAGTAATAAATACAAAAAAAGTAATAAATACACATAATGGAAAAAAAGAAACCAGAAACTCCTGTATAGCTAGCTTATTTTTTGAAGAAACTAGATCAGTTTGTCTTGAAGAGCTTCCTGTGGTCTGAATTTTGTAGATTGCATTCCTGTGATGTTCCTGTCTTTAATATTTCCTATAAATTGGTAGTTGACTGTGAAGAATTGGTCAAATTTAGTTTTTTTCCTCCCTGGGAAGTCCACTTTACAGTTTGTTATATCAAGAGACACATGGTATTTGTAAGTTTTTTATGATGATTGTAACCATTAATACCTAGTGCCTACATCCATGAACTCATTAGAAGTTGCCAAATGGTGATATTCTGATTCCATCATTCCTTATTCATTAGCTAGAATACTTCTATAATGAGAAACTTTCTGTTATCTACTATTTGGTTACACAGAGGTATAATTTGTATTTTATTTTTTATATTTTATTTATTTTTTATTTTTTTAGGCGAGGCAACCCTTGGTTGACCTCACAGATTGCAAGGACCTTGTCAACTTACAATTCCTTATTTTTTATTTTTTTACACCTACAGCACCTGGTCTTCCTAGGTGGTCTCCCATCCAAGTACTAACCAGGCCCAACCCTGCTTAGCTTCTGAGATCAGACGGGATTGGGCTTGTTCAGAGTGGCATGGCCTGAACAAGTATAATTTGTATTGAATTGGCTCCTTATTCTTCTCCAAAGACAATCATTTAGATTTGTTTGTTTTTAAATCATTAACTCATAGATTTAAACATTTTGATGCATTTCAATACATTGCAGTTATTATCCTTATTGATGCTCAAATTTTTCCATTTTCGGCCAATTGGGATGCTCTTTAGATTGGCTCCTGATTCCTTTTGACACATTTGTTTATACTTTGATAGCTTCCTTCCTCTCTGGTATGACAAAATGTTCTAAGCTCATTTTGAAAATTTTTTGCCCACACCTGGAAAAATCTATTTCTCCAAGATGACCTGGTTTTTGTTAGAGAAAAATGGTATTTCAGGAACACACTCTGGACATACCTTAAGGATACTCATTCATTATTTTTAGGTTTTCAGTGGATAGATCAAGGAAATTATATACATGCATAGGTGAAAGGATGGATGGATGGATGGATGGATGGATGGATGGATGGATGGATGGATGGATGGATGGAAAGAGGGAGGAAGGGATTTTTTTATAGATAAAATAGCTTATGAGTTTATACTAATACTTGTAATTCAAATTAAGGAATAATAGTAGGTTTTTACTTAACCTCACCTAACATCTGTTTCTCCTTTCACACTGAGAATCTTCCTTCTCAAGGACACAGAGAATGATACAATTAGAATAGAATTACTCATTTGTTTTATGCCACATAATTTACGTAATAATTTCCATTAACAATACAGATACTACCACCATTAATACAGTTACCAAAACAAATTTAAAACATTTTTTGCATATCATTTTCTAATTGTACTGTATTATGTTAGGCAGAACAGCCGTTTTATACTACGCTCTGTTCCTTCCAACCCACACTTAGTTCTACAAGTAAATATTTATTTATTGCTTTTAAGTCATTAGATTACTCCTGTCTCTGATCATTTTGCTTGTCTGAAACTTGTTCTCTAGTACTTTTCTTAGGAAGATTAACAATATTGACTTTTTGCATGTTGATGATATTTGTGTCTTCTAAACTTGAAACTTGGTTTGGCTAGATATAATGTTCTTGGCTCACATTCTCCTTTCTTAAATATCTTAGGTATTGCTCCACTTTCTTCTGGCATAAACTGTTACTGTCAAAAAGTCTGATGACAATCTAATTTTCTTTCCCTTAAAAGTTAGGTAATGATCATTCTTGGTCAGTTTTCTCAGGTACATGGTAAATCTTTTCAATATGTAGAATCAAAAATTTTTCAAAGTTTTCCTGAATTATAATTTTAGTATTAGTTCTGTTTCTTTGCTTTGGTTTTCTTTCTCACAGATGCCTATGGTATATATATTGAATCTTTTGGCCTATCTTCTAAATTTGTCAGTTTCTCTCACATTCCCCGCCCCACAACTCTCTCTCCTCTCTCTCCCTTCTTCCTGTCTGCCTTCTTCCCTCTCTTTTAAATTAAGATTTATTTTCTAGAGTAGTTTTAAGTTTAAAGAAAAGAAGAAAGTACAGATTTCTCATATCCTCCCTCTACCTGCCCCTCTCAGTTTTCCCTATTATTAACATCTTGCATTGGTGTGGTATATTGGTCACAATTAGCAAAACAATATTGAATACTATTATTAACTGAAATTACTAGTTTACATTAGAGTTAATGTTTGCATTATACAGTACTATGGGTGTTGCCAAATGTATAATGTCATATTCTGCCTTTAGAGCGACATACAGAATAGTTTCATTACCCTGAAAATCCTGTGCTCTTCCTTATCCACCCCTGTGCCCCTCTCTCTCCCAACCCCTGGCAACCCCTGGTCTTTTTACTATCTCGATAGTTTGTCTTTTCCAGAATGTCACATAAATTGGTCATACAGTATGTAGCTTTTCACATTAGCTTCTTTTTCTAACCAATATGCATTTAAGATTCCTCTCTGTCTTTTCATGGCTTGATAGCTCATTTCTTCTAATTGCTGAATAATAGTCCGTTGTATGGATGCACCACAGTTTGTTTATTCAATCACCTACTGAAGGATATTTTGGTTGCTTCCAATTTTTGGCAGTTATGAATAAAGCTGCTATATAAACATTCATGTACAGTTCATTATATGGACATAAATTTTTAAATCAGTTGGGTAAATTAACTAAGAGGCTTGATTGCTGGAGCATATAGTAAGAGTATGTTTAGTTTTGTAAGAAACCTCTAAACTGTCCTCCAGAGTTTTTGCATTCCCACCAGCAATGAATGAGAGTTCCTGTTGCGCCATGTCCTTGACAGCAGTGTTGTCAGTGTTTTGGATTTTGCCCATTCAGATAAGTGTGTAATGATATCTCATTTTAATATGGTGTTGAACATCTTTTCACATGCTTATTTGCAATCTGTGTATCTTCTTTAGTGATCCGTTTGTTTGTGCAGACTTTTGCCCATTTTTTAATTGGGTTGTTTGTTTTCATATGGTTGAGTTTTAAGAGTTCTTTGTATATTTCAGATACAAGTTCTTTATCAGATACGTGTTTTGTAGATAGTTTCTCCCAGTCTGTGGCCTGTCTTGTCATCTTTATTTCTTTTTGATTTTTAAAATTTTCTCCTCTTCATCTTCTGTTTCTGTGAGGAAGTATTTGTTGTTTATTTGTTTTGAGTTCCTTTTAGTTTAGTTTTCATTTCTGAAATTATTTTTATTTCTATTTACTTCACTTCTCAGTTTTTCTAATCTTTGTTATTCTTTCATATCTTGTATGATTTTATTTATTTTAGCTCACTTTGAAGTAGTATTTTATCTTTTGTAGACATCTTTCAGATGCTTTTATTATCTGTAATGATGGTAGTAGTTATAATTTTTTATGGAGCTAGAGCTCAATACCCTTCTTTGCTCATTTTTACAGGAACTTAAGTGTTTCTGAATTTGTAGAATTCGGAAATGTGGTTTTGGACAGCTTTTTAAACTTCAGGTTCTGGAATTCCCTTTTCTAATGTTTTTGGATTATGTTAAAAGTCACAGGAACATACTTTCTGAGATGCCTGCTGTTTCCTTCCCCACTTTTTTCTAAATCTCTTTACTCTGGTGTTCCTGGGCCGCTTAATTGGATTCCCTTCCCAGAAGTTTCTTCTCAGTGTGAGGTTTTGTACTAGAAGGGAGCTTTGGCTGAATTCGTTTTATGGTTTGTGGGGCCCAGACTGCTTTAGCCCTTTCAGACTTCACCACACTCCTCCTATATTCCATTAATGGTTATAATATGTAAAACCCCTTCCAGTTTCAGCTGCTGTTCACAAATTGGCTCTCCCAACTTTGCAATTAAAACTGGGACAGTGGTTTGGGGATTCCTAGATCCATCAGAGGCCCTGTTGCTTCCCTCTGTTTCCCTCTGCGTGCTACAGGTCTTGTAGTTGTCCAGTGATTTCCTGCTACCTATCAGTATTGCACAGTTTGTGGTATAGATACTGTCCATGGGTATTTGGTTTTGTTATGTTTTTGGTTTTGTTTTAGAGGTTAGAGGGAGCAAAAAAAAAATCATGCGTCTGCTGCCACTACCACAATCTTCCTCACCAACTTTTAAATTCACTTCGTCTTCCATTGTATAAGATCAGGCTATAAACATGCCAGTTTCCCCTACCTCTGCTTTTCCACTTTCAGTCACTTCCCATCTTTTTTTTCTTCTACCTTTTGTTTTACACCATCAAAATAGTTAATATTTGCATTCTGTTCTGAGGCCATAATTAAGTTTTCTGTTTTTTTTCTATAGGTTGATTCTAACATTAAAAACCAATAAATAACACTTACATCGTTATGATTATGTAAATATTTTACGTGGGCTGTGGTTACATTCTTTCTCTATATTATGGTCACACCCCTCTGTGACATTCAAAGCAAGCTGTTTTTAGTATCAAGGTCAAATGGGACTTCTGTTTTCTAATCTACCAATAACTCAAAATTTTACCTCATTTTAGTTTTCTTGATAGTTAGACCATGATTTTTTTTGTAGTTTTTTTTTTCTGGCTTTCTGATTGTCTTTCTCTTTACTTATTGTAAAGATATATATCTTATTTATTGTATGGATATATATCTTGTCTTTGTTCATATTCCTAATGTCTGTTAGCATTTTTACCCATGCTATTTATTGCTTGAAATTATTTTCATTCTCAATGACAATGTTCTTGGGCATCTGTTGACTTCCTGTTTGAAATGAAACTAAATAGGTTGCTTTCCAAGCCTGCTGCATAGTGGCCTTGCAGGGCTTACTTTCATGAAACTCTTGATTTGACAACTCCAGTTATCAAATCCCAAAACTGCCAGTTTTGCCTCTGTTTACAGGAAAATATCCTTCAGTAACTTCCTAATAAAAGACTGTCCATCAAATAAACATTACTTGGCCCTCATGGAAAATTGATATTTTTGCTGAGTATAGTTTTAGCTTCAAAATCTTTTTTTTTCCTCAGAATTTTTGAAAGCCTTGTTCCATTATCTTCTATTCTCCATGGTTTGAATGAGAGGTTTCATGCCAGTCTGGATCTCATTTTTTTCTTTCTGGAAGTTTTTGGGGGTTCACCTTTATCTTTTGTTTTCAAAATTTCATAACGATGTGTTTAGAAATGTAGTGGCTCACTCTACAATAAAATTTGAGAACCACTTTATCTCATTACTTCCTAAAGGATATTTTAGTTTTGAAAGGATTAGAATTAGTATCAACACCTTTTAACATACTGGGTTTCGTATGATGAAACCAACATTGTAATACAATTGATATTAACTTTACATATTGAAATTGAAGAGACTACCTAAACTGTGCTTAGCTTCTAATTTTCTTTTAAAGGCCCAGGAACCTACATATCCACAGTGGCTTCTTTTAGGCCTTTAAAATCTCTACATTTCCTCCTTCCACTCCTTGTCTGTCTTTGCTCCTCTCTATCCATTTGCAGCCTTTCTTGAGCCTGAGAGACAAAGTTCAGCCCAGACTTGTCCTTTTTGCTGCTTGTCTGCAAGCGACCTGGTGAAAGGATGAGGCCCAAGCTGTTTAATGACATAAAGCAAAATTGCCTAGAGTATTCATATTGCTTGGGCTTCCACTTCCAAGATCCACTAAACCCCAGACTATTCTGACTTAAGGCCTACATTCTGCAGATTACAGATGAAGAATGCAGGCACTAGGATCAGAGCTGTGTGATGGGCAAATTACTTCCCTCTGAGCCTTGGTCTCCTCTTCTGTAAAATGGGTATAATAATAGGATCCCCATCATAGAGTTGTGAGAATGAGGTTTAATAGAGTTAGTACATATAAAGTACTTAGTGTGTCTCACATAGTGAGTTCTTTAAAAAACATTATTTGTGGTTATTATTTTATCTCATGGGCAAAGAATGGACTTATCCTGAGTTTTAGGGTAAGAATTATCTACATATTATATGACAAATTTCAAATAATATTATATAACTTTCTAAATTTTATATTGAGAAGCTAAAACAGAACAAGTCCAGAAAAAGCTCATAATAACAAAAACAGTACAATGTACTGAGAGGCCATATTCTGTGCCAGATATTTTGCTAGGCATTTTCCATAAGTTATTTCTAATCCTTATAACAACCTACAAGAAAAGTGTTATCATCTTCATTTCACCCATGAGGAAACTGAGGCTAATTGAGGCTCAGGGTAATGGTGACTTGCCAAAGGGTACTGCTAGTAAATCATGAAGCTGGGATTTGAACCTAGCACTCTCTGACCTCAAAGATCCTGTACCTTGTTTTTCACCACCTAAAAGATGTGAGGCACACAAGGAATCCGAAGATAGCTCTGGTCAGCATTGTTAGGTCTGGAATCACCACCCCACTGAACACTGTGGGAGGAAAAGTAAGAGTAAAGTACTATGATGCTGAAACTTCTTGTTGAGAAGAAATTCTGTCTCTGCACTGCAACCTTGGACTTCTGTAAGAGCAGTTGCTGAACATACCTGCCCAGGATTTATCTGTAGACTCCCCAGCTATTGGTCATGTGAGCTGAGGGAATCTGCAGGTAGGCAGAGAGGAGAGGCTCCAAGGTGAATATGCTCCAGTACCTCCTATAATTCACTGAGCTTAATTGATTTCATGGCTTATCAGATTGATATGTTCTTTTATTAACATATACTTTCGAATAGGTGATATATAATTCAGAAATCAAAATGACATAGAAAGATACTTTAAGAAATCTTGCTTCCTGTTCCCATTCACCATTTCCCCCATAAAGATAGCCATTTTTAAGTGAGTCCTAGTGTTTCTTTATTCAGCTTCAAGCAAATATAAATATTTTATTCCTCCCTTATTACATAAAATCATCTTTATTATTGATCTATTAATATATTCTGAAGATCCTTTTATATCAGTATATAAAGAACTTTCTCATGCTTTTTTTTTTATAGCTTCAGGGTAAATTTCAGTAGTAAATAAAATAGTTTTTAACTCATTCCCAACTGATGGACATGGCCTGTTTCTCATCTGTTGCTGTTAGAAACAGTGTTGAATGAATAGCTTTGTTCACAAGCTCTTGGAATATAGTGCACATTTCTCTTCAAGACAAATTCCCAGCAGTGGGAGAGTAGGATTGCTGGGTCAAACAATAATTGCATATGTCATCTTAGTGTATTTTGCCCAGTTGCCCACTGTGGTGTTTTTACCATTTTGTACTCTACCTATTTTTCCACAGGTACTCCAACAAAGCATGTTGTTGGATTTTGAGATTTTTTATATTCTTCCAGGTGAAAAATGGTATTTCAGTGTTGTTTTTATTTGCCTTTTTCAGTCAGTGAGGTTGAACATCTTTTCGTGTGTTTAAGATCCTTTTGTGTTTCTTTTCTGTTAATGCCTGTGTCCCTTGAACCGTTTTCTTTTGTTGGTCTTTCCTTGATTTGTAGGGGTCCTTATATTACTAAGATTAGCCCTCTGTATGTGCTGTGAGTTTCAAATATTTTTTTCCCAGTTTGTCATTTATTTTATGACTTGACTTATGTGTGTGCATGGTTTTTTTAATGCAGAAATCTTTTTTACTTTTATGTAGTCAGATTTATCCCATTTTTCTTTTATGGCTTCTGGATTATTGATGTTCTTCAGAGGCACGTTAATAGCTTTAATAGAAAATCTGAGCATATGCACATGTTCAGTAGGCATACTTAATAAAATTCCAATTTTCACCACCATCATGGTTTATTTTAGCACTGTGTGATCTGATCACGTGTTGAGACAAGCTGGGTTTCTTTGCAGCGGTGGCTGTCGATGCTTCTACTCAGGCTGCTATTGGGGCCCCTCTGCCTTTCTCTCTCCCTCTGGCTCAGCTTAAAGTCCTTTCTCCACTCTCTAAGTGAGGCTCCCATCTTGAGGTGTGGGAAGAATCTCCCTTAGACTATGTGCTAGAGTAGATGGCACATAGAGTAGTATCAAGCCCCAGACTGGTGTCTCAGCCTTGACCCCCAGGCCAGTCTTCAAACCCCTGGACTCCTTGTGCACACACACAGGTCATGCTCCTCTCTAGTTTTCATTATAATACCCAAAGCTCATCTCTGGTTGCTTGATGAGCACAATCTTCTCTTCCTGCCCAGGACCCTAACATTCACAGGTGGGTGTAGGGATCCTCTCCCCAAAATGCGCATGCGTTTGTGCACATACACACACACATACACACCTCCCTGAATGAACTGTGGCAGTTTACCTAATGCCCAAGTGTATCGTGGCAGCATTTTGTTCTGTTGTGTCAGCATTGTATTTAACAGTCTACCAGATATTCCTGTGTGTTTTCTCATAATCCAATAATATTTCCCTAAGGTGAAACCATTACAAAAATGAATAGAGATTATTGCTATCCAGTAAGAAATCTAAGGCTAAATTTCTACATCCGACATACTGTCTATCCTATATGAAGCCTAGGGCAGCCTTTTTTGGTGGTCCCTTTGTGCCATCATCCAGTTGGGTCAGTGTGAGAGGCAGGGGGAATCATCTAGTGACATATTAAAGGACATTCTGTGTGGAAAGGTCCCTCCTCACATTCATTTGTATGCATTCTCCTCTAAAGATTGTCCTTCAGTATTTATTTACCAAGTCTTCATCAATTTGTATCGGGACCATGATTTTCTTTTAAAAGTGTTTTGTTTAATTCTGATTTTGTCTATGAACAAAGTTCCTTCAAATTTAGAAGAATTTCAAAGCAATGAAAAGTTAATGGACTTTTAGAAATCCAATATATCAAATTTTTCTTAATATAATAAATATAAAGAGTTAACTTTAGTTTTATATCATACATTGTAATTTTTTAATTTGTTATTTTACAGAAAAAGACACTATGGATGTATGGTGCAATGGTAAAAAAATGGAGACAGCAGTAAGTTGACCTTTTGATTACTCTTAGCACCGTGTGTATAAGTTACCCTGAAATGTTGCTACAATTCCTAATTATGGAGACTTTATAATTAGCCAAGGTTCAGTTGATTGAAAACAAAAAGATGAATTACTCCAGACTCCAAAACCTGAAAACCTCTCCTGGACAGTACCTGAGGCAGTAAGGATTTGGAAACAGTTTTCATTGTGAGCTTGCACCAACCTCACATGCTACCTTTCTTTTCCTAGACAATATCCTTAAGAGTGCCCACACTAAAAAATTTCTCCTACAAAAGCTGCGTCCTGCTGTGTTTATCTGTGTTAAAGAGGTGCTTTATACCACTGCTTCTCCAACTTGCTTGCATAGAAATCACCTGGGATCTTGTTAAAATGCAAATTCTAACATTTCCTTCCTGATGCCCATGCTGCTGGTCCACAGGTCATACTTTGCATAGAAGGCTTTACACCACACACTCAAAGCAGATGGTACTTTTCTAAAAGCGAAATTTTTGAAAAAGAAGTGATGCACAATAATGTCAGATGACGACATGAAGGCAAACAGGAACAGGCACTGTTACAAACCCCAGAAGACAATGGGATTTGTAGATTAGCAGTGCTAAGAGGCTACACACTCATTGTAGCCATGCACAATAAAATCCCCATCTAAACTCCAGTGTGTTTGGCTTTTGCTATTGGCTGCTTGTACCGTTAATGTTGTGGGTGGGATGAATATAGGAGTGAATTTCAAATGGAAATGAAATAATAGTGGTGCAGTGTACACAGCATAGGGAGGAAGTGGAAACTATCGTGGGAAACAGAGCGTGGGACTAGGAGCTGAAATCACTGGATGGAAACTCCCATATGTTATGGGGTCTCCTGGTAAGCAGGGGATACTATCCTTGGTATCTACCTTTCATGCTGGCTTTGGGTGAACACCAAAGCTAGAGAGAAGAAACTCTCTGGTCACATTTTTGCTAGTTGTACAATTATAGTTGCTGCCGTTATTTCTTTTTATAGGTATAGAAAGGTGAGAAGAAGTGTGGGATGAAGTTACTCAGCAGACTACCTAGAACCTGCTGGGTCTTATAACTGGCCTTCTGCTTCTTGACAAGTACCCAAACCAGCAATCAAAAGTTACTATTTCTTAATCCTGGTATTAATTCTTGATGGGAAATTTAACCAGGACTCACTCACTCAAAATTGATCCTCCCAAACTTCAGCAGTTAAATCTACTGATAGGGACTTCTTTTATGCAGAGAGGCTCTGAGAACTCTTCAGTATTTATGGCCCCTTTTAGAAGAGCTTCAGTTACCATTAACATGGGTTGAGTACCTATTGTGTGCCCAACGCCACATCTGGTGGTCCCTTCTGTTCTTACTTTCTTACCCTTTAATTCTCTAGATGGAGAATCAGCAGTTGTAAGTCACATTCCCTTCCACCCTCAAGGAATTCTCCAGTGCAAATGTAGAGAGAATGTTGTTTTATGGTATTAAGAATGTGGTTATAAATAAGAAGCTGAAAATAATGTTTATTCACAATGTCTTTGTCCATCAGTAATTGATGGGAAATCACAAGTGTGTGGACGGTAGCTCTTCATATCCCAGTTCTGTCTGCATTGTAACTACAGCCTAGTTTGCAGGGCATTCTGGTGGCTCCGTATCTGGGCAGCCTCCCCAGTACTATGCACACCTGCTCTTGCTGCCCGTGTTACAGCTTATTTTCTTCTTTTTATCTCAAAGTATCTGTAACATTGCCAAGAAGCTGTAAATCCAGTGTTTATTTTACACTTAAAAGCAAGTCTCATGTCAGACCACATTTTTTAAGTGTTGACTTGCTACATGTGGCTAGTGGCTACTGTATAGGACAGAGCAGGTCTAGATTTAGTAGTGCTTGATTTTATGTTATCTGTGTATTTTATTGTAAACCATTTACACCCTGAGGAATCAGATTTTCAGAGTAGTTAAGAATACTACATCCTTTACTAACTAGGACCTTCAGCAAGTTATTTAACTTAACCACTCTGTGCCTCAATTTCCTTATCTATAAAATAAGGATAATAGTACTTCTATTAGAGTTATTGTGAGGACACAATGAAGTAATGCAGGTAAACTATTCTTAGTGTAAAGTAACTAACTAATGTTTGCTATCATGCTTATCATTTTTACTTTTAAAAAATTATGTCTACATAGTATATGTTATAGACACATAGTCATTAGGTACATGTTTTTTTTCCTTGTGAAACTTCAGGTTCTTAGAATGTAGGGGGTACAAACAAGAAACTTCCAATTCATAGCAGAATGTAAAAGGCATCTAAATACAGGCTTCTAATTTTGCAAAGCTTAACATTTAACTAATCTGTATTTTATTATTCTATCCTTTTAGATGGTGTTAACGCTCTAGACAAAGAAAAATTTTTCCGAACACTAATTCCTCTTTCTTTTGTTGGCCTAGGGTGAGTTTGTAGATGATGGGACTGAAACTCACTTCAGTATTGCGAACCATGACTGTTACATAAAGGCTGTCAGTAGTGGAAAGCGGAAAGAAGGGATTATTCATACTCTCATTGTGGATAATAGAGAAATCCCAGAGATTCTTGAATGACTTCATGTTAATGAACATTAATCTTAAGAAGTAAAGATCAGGACTTTTAAATTACTTTGATAATTAAATATATTCAATATGTACATCTCAGTACATTAGTCTGCCATGTAATGTACCAAGGGTCAAGAAAAAATTATATACGAAAAACCCCTGCAATTCATTTTGTAAATAATGTAAAATGTGTTAAAGCCAAATGGAAAATAAGATACAGACCAAAATCACTAATGTTTTACCAGAGGAACTTTTACTATAATAAACACTGTAAAATAAAATTGGTGCTGCTTGATTTGTGTTTCTAAAAGCGGACATCTTCATATCTTTCTAATCTGTGCAGATAGGTTGATCCTCTAGTTTAAAGCAGTTGGTATGTAATGATATTAGTTTAACCGTAGACATTTTTTATCTGGAATCTTAATATTAAGGAAATGTCAAATAGTGTCACATGTATTCCAGAACTAATCCTTTGACTGTAGCCTTTCGCTTTTAGCAGTACAAAATAAATACATGAAAAGTCTCCCAGTCATCCCTTCAATGTAATACACTATCTGCTTCCTCTAATGAGCTCTGAGGGTAGGAACTGCATTCCACTGCCCCTCAGGACCTAGCTTGCCCCTCACAGATAGTAGGAGGTGGGATTCATATTACTGTAGCTTAGGAGAAGTCTAGGTTGGAGATAAACATGTGGGCGTCATCAACATATACAGGCATACCTTGGAGATATCGTGGGTTTGGTTCCAGACCACTGTAATAAAGTGAATATCACAATAAAAGTGAGTCACATGAATATTCTGGTTTCCCAGTGCATACAGAAGTTATTTATACTGTAGTCTATTAAGTGTGCAATAGCATTATGTCTAAAAAAGCAATGTACATATCTTAATTAAAAAATACTTTATTGCTAAAAAATGCTATTATCTGAGCCTATTGGAAAAATGGGACCAATAAACTTGCTCGATGCAAGATTGCCACAAACTTTCAATCTGTAAAAAAACGCAATGTCTGAAAAGCACAATAAAGTGAAGTGCAATAATGCAAGGTTTGCCTGTATAGAAGTCTTTAAATTAAAGTAATGGTAATGGATAACATCAACTAGGGAGCTTAAAGAAAAAAAGGTGGAGGTGGTGGGGAGCGTAAGATTAAACCCTGAAGAGCTACAGCACAGGCTGGTTAAGGTCAAGGGAGATCTTCATTAAGTAAGGAAATCCTGAAGCTATAAAACAGAAGACAGACATATTTAATTATCTAGAAATTTTTAGTTGTATGGTAAAAGATACCATAAACGAAGCTAATATACAACATATTTGGGGGAAATATTTGTAATGTAGATAACAAAGGTCATAAATACATAAATATGCAAGCGAATGAGAGGACAACATGAATGGGCATACAGAAATAGCCAACAATAGAAACGGACCCACAAGCACTCCAGATTAAGAGTTCATTAGATGTAGAACTTAATATAACTATGTTTAAGATATTCAATGTAATGAAAGACAACTCAGAATTTCAGAAAACAGGAAAATAAAGATAGAGCAGAATTAAAAAAATGAAAGCTGGCATAACTATTAATAGTAGTTAAAGCAGACTTTAAAGCTAAAAGCATTACCAGAAATACAGAACATTTTAAAATAATTTTTAAATGGTTCAATTCATCAGAGATATAAATCAACTTTAAATTTGTATGCACCTAATAATATTGACTCAAACTCTGTAAAATAAAAATTGACATAACTAAAATAAATATCCAAAATCACAGTGAGATATTTCAACTTCTACCATACAGGTTAGGCAAACACTCAGTAAAGATATATAAATTAACACTATTTTCAGATGATCTAATGAACATATATAGAACACTTAAACTGATAATTGCAGAATACGGATTTTTCACATGCACACTGAATGTCTGTATTTGACCATATTGTCAGTCATAAAAACAAGTCCCACAAATTTGCAAGAACTGAAATTATACAGAATGTTCTCCAAATGCCATGTAATCAATCTAGAAATCAACAAAATGGTAGAAAATCCATGAGTATTTGGAAATCAATAAATATACTTCTAAATAACCAGTAGGTCATGAAGAAACTAAAATGGAAATTAGAAAATATTTTGTACTCAATGGTGAAAATTTCATATCAGAACTTATGGGATGCAGATAAAGATTGTTATTATAAAGGCTATAACTGACCAGCTAAGTAACCATCTTATAAAATTAGAGTGAAGGAATAACAGCAAAATAGAAGCAAAGTAGAAGGAAGAAATAATAAGGATAAATAGAGAGTAGAAAACATACAACAGAGGATCAAAAGAGCCAAAAGCTGATTCTTTGTAAAGACTGATGCAATTGAAAAACCTCTAATGAGACTAAGAAAATAAAGAAAATAAAGGCACTATCCAATACCAAGAATAAAAAAGAAGACATCACTATGGATTCTGCAACATTAATAAACTCAATGCATGAATTATTTATAAAAAAAAATTGAAAATGTAAATGAAATAGACACATTCCTAGAAAATTACAACTCATTAAAATGAACACAAGAAGATATTAATATCTAAATATTCCTCTGGCTATTAAGGAAAAATCCAAACCCCAAAGAAAGCATCTGACTTAAGGTCACTGGCAAAATTCTATACATAACCCTTAAACTTATGGGCCAATCCCATTGATGAAAATAGATGGCAAAAATCCAAAATGAAATATTGGCAATCGAATCCAGCGATATGTAAAAAAGATAATACATCACAATCAAGTTGTTCATTCCAGGAATGTAAACTTGGTTTAATATTTGCACATCAATATAACTCACCAAATGAGAAAAAAAAACATGATCATTTTAATATAGAAGAAAAATAATTTGATACAATTCATCCTTTTGTGATTTTTAAAACAATATTACTAGTTTATTATAAAGGTTACAAACGAACATACTGATGAAGAGGTCCATAGAGCTATGGTCTGGGTGTGCCCTGAGTGTAGGAGCTTCTGTGCCCGGTGCAGTCGGGATGCGCCAATCCAGAAGCTCCCTTGCGTGATTTAAAAAAAAAAAAAAAAGACCCTTGGGAATTAAAGTGTGCTTCCTTAATCTGGTATAAGATCCAGATTCCAGGGCAAACACTATACTTAATGTTGAAAACTTTCTCTTTGAGATCAGTAAAAGGTTGAATATTGCTTCTATTAAATGTTTTATTGGAATTCCTAACGAGTGCAAAAGGGCAAAAAAAAAAAGAAAATGTTGAAGAATAGAAAGGAAAGAAGAAAGCTACAATCATTTGTAGATGATATATACAAAATCAAAATAATTTCTAGAGTTAAGACTGATAAGAATGTTTAGTAAGTTTGCCAAATATGTCAATTGTATTTCTATTGATTGCTCTGAAACTAAAATTTTATTAAAACACAATTGTTAGATTTCATCTTGAGTTTCTGACTCAGCAGATCTGGGGTAGGGCTCAAGAATTTGCACTTCTAATCAGTTCCCAGATGATGCTAATATTCCTCGTCAGAGGACCACACTTTGAGAACTACAGCTATATATTAGCAACAATAAAACTTAAAATTAAATACTCAGGAATCTAACAAAAGATATACAAGAATATACATAGAAAACTATATATCATTGTGGATATAAATTACAGAGGATTTAAATAAAGGGTACTCCATTGCCATAGATTAGAAGAGTCAATATTCTGAAGATTTCACTCCACCTAATCTGTAATTTAATGCAATCCTATGTGAAATTTCAATAGGTTTCTTTTTGTAGATTCTGAAATGTATACAGAGGCATCATTGATAATTGTGAGGAAAAAGCACGGACACTTACGACAGACTCCTGACAGACTCCCTGAGTTTGAATACTGGCTCCTGCTTTGTGACTCTGGACAAATGATTTAACCTCTGTGCTTCAGTTTTCTCATCTGTAAAGTGGGAAAGAACAATTGTACCTATCACACAAGAATGTGATAAGGATGAAATATATATAGTTTAGATGTGGGAATGGGAACATGCTAAGTGGTATGTATGCATTTGGTAAGTAAGATAAAATAAAAATAGGGAGATGAAGTCTACTAGATATCTTCTAGAGTCCAGGAGCAGAGTCATGCATATATGAACACATGGTTTATGACAAAGGTAGAACTACAGAACAGTGCAGGAGGATTATTGATTATTTTTCCAAAAAGAGATACTGAGACACATGAGAAAAAACAAAATTTGACCCCATTTCACATAAAAAGCAATTCCAGGCAGATTATAGATCTAAATGGAATAGTTTTAAAAAAATAAAATTTTTAGGATAATCCAGAAGAATATCTTCATGATCTTGGGGTAGGGCAAGATTTCTTAAATACTATGTAAGAAATATTAACCATAAAGGAAAATGATATATTTGACATTAAAATTAAGATTGTTATAAGAAACCATTATGAGAATGATTAGAATTTTCAACACATATGACCAACAAAGGGTTTATATACAAAATATATTAAGTTCACACAAAAAAGGAAGAAAAAAGTCCTCAAAAAAAAAAAAAAATAAGTGCCAAGTAACCAAATAAATAAATGGACTTAAGCAGGCATTTCACAAATGAGAAAATCCAAATGACTGACGTTTAGATCCTACCTGGATCCCTGAGAAGAGATGCAGCATTCTGGAGTGAGGAAGGAGAAGAGGCAGATAGAAATGATTGTTGAGCCCATTAATGCCCATGAATCTGCTTTTTCTCACCTCCAGGCCTTTACATATGCTTTCTTTCCTGCTTAGTCTGCTCTTCCCATCACTCCTTTACTTAGCTGCTATCTGTCCTCAAAGACTCAGCTCAGAGGCCCTCTTCTCCAAGAAATCCCAGCTAACAGGGCTATGGAATGGACAAGGCAGAACCAAGAATGCACTGAAGGGGCCTACCCAGACAGGAGACAGGGACAGAGGTCTGGAAAGGGCTTACCTTCCCTGAGATTCCTCCCTGCAGTGGCCTTCAAGAGGTGGAAGCAGGGAAAGAAATGAGTTTGCTCTGAGTTGGGACTCGGCACATTCCCATTCACAGCCTTAACCTAGCCTCTCCCTACTCCACAGGAAGTGAGTGGGGCGATTACTATCAGTCCCATTTCATAAAGTAGGAAGCTCAGACTCTAAGAAATAATAAAATAAATACCTTACTCAAAGGTCACAGAGGCAGAGCTGGATTACAAATATTGGCCTCTGTAGCCCAGGGTCTGCCTATAGACAAGAGGTGGATAGTCAGGAATTATTCAACAAAGTCATCCTTTGTGTTCCCAGGGCTGATT